ATCCCCAGGAAGACAAGACGCATAAGGCTGGCATCCTCAATAAGATAAGTCTTTATAAAATATATAGATTAATGGCTATGGTTGATACTTAAGACAGAACTAGCATACAAGAAATCCTAGTCATTGGCCAGCATCATTGTACCTAATATTAATCTCTGTGTGTTATTTTGGGCGCCCACATTGTGGCAGGGCACGGGCGGCTGGCAGAAAGAGTTACCGTTACAAAATGGCATCCACCTGGTTTAACAAAATTCCACATAAGAACTTCACAAAAGCTTAAAAAGGGATTTTAGAAGCAAAATAACAGAGACAAGCACGACTTCTTGGTAGCAGCATTTTCTCATGTGTCTTCTGTTTTGCTAGAGACAGATTCTCAAGCAGCTCCCTTAAGGGAGGTTTCCTGACTCAGCATAAGTGGAAAAAAACACAGGACTCTTTTTCTTACTTTCTTTCAATTTCTGCTTACAAGTGAATGGTGTACGAGCAGGTGGCAGTGGCAGTGGCCACATCTCCAAGCAGCCTGCTGCTTGATGGCAGCACAGACCAAGGTGGTGAGCACAGCTCTCAGTCCTGGCAGTAAACATACCCCTGGCATCTTGGAAAGATGGAGGCTAAAACAGCCGCTGCTTTAATTTTGGCATTGTTTTTAGCAGATAAAAGACCACGTGGTCAGAAAAAGGTAAAGATTTACAGTAAAGACAGATTCAGATAAAGAAAAACCTCTAAAGGTTTACAGTGGTTTGAAAATATACATAGGCTTGTGAGAGAAAAGGAAACAGGATAAAGAGAAGAAGAAGAAGAAGAAGAAGAAGAAGAGGAAGAAGAAGAAGGAGAAGGAGAAGGAGAAGGAGAAGGAGAAGGAGAAGGAGAAGGAGAAGGAGAAGGAGAAGGAGAAGGAGAAGGAGAAGGAGAAGGAGAAGGAGAAGGAGAAGGAGAAGGAGAAGGAGAAGGAGAAGGAGAAGGAGAAGGAGAAGGAGAAGGAGAAGGAGAAGGAGAAGGAGAAGGAGAAGGAGAAGGAGAAGGAGAAGGAGAAGGAGAAGGAGAAGGAGAAGGAGAAGGAGAAGGAGAAGGAGAAGGAGAAGGAGAAGGAGAAGGAGAAGGAGAAGGAGAAGGAGAAGAAGAAGAAATAGAGTAGCTGGGTGTGGTGGCACACAGTTTTAATCCCGGTACTTGGGAGGCAGAGGCAAACAGTTCTCTGGGACTTCAAGGCCAGCCTGGTGTACAGAGTGAGTTCAAGGGCAGCCAAAGTTACTCAGAGAAACCCTGCCTCAAAAAAGAAAAAAATAAAAGCAAAAGAAACAGTTATAAAAATAAATAAGCCATGAAAGATGGAAAATACACAGAGTCTGGATACTATATGCTATATTGTTGTCTTTAAATTGTTTGATTGCCGAGGAAAGAGCTACAGCTGCTAAAATACATTTGATTATAGGTGCTATTAAATTAATCCAACTTATATATTTTAAAAATGCTTTGACTTCTAAATTTAAATATAAGGACAGGTTACTTGGGAAAAGAGTTTTTGCTTATGTTTCTACAGAAAATGTAAAGCTATGAATTTCTTCCAGACTAATATGGTTTGATGAAGCAATACCTCCTGAAGCAGTGTTCCAGGTGATCCAACATCTAAAACAGCTGAGACAATACAGCCTTGCAGACTACAAAAACAAGGACCTAGCCAGATTTCTATGTTGTATCATGATCCCCATGGATATCGCCCCCAACCAGCAGAAAGCAGTTTGGAATGAACCATGCCCAAATTCCTGAATATTGTTTATAAATGTTTGTTTTCATTTAAATGAGGGTTGGTTATAAATGGTAATGATCACAGTCAATCTCTTTTTAAAGGAAAAAAGGGGAATTTAATATAGAAATGAATACTTTGCATTGGTATGGATTTTCATTTATTGATACAATTTTAAGGACAATTTTGTGATATGTATATTTCTCCTCCTATTTAGGTATTGTGTTATACAGACTGTTTAAGATGTAATGCATAATTAAATACAGATTGTATACAGTCAGGTATAATAGTCAAAACTTAGTTAGGTTAGTTACGTTTTCTAGATATACAGAGATGTATTTGAGATGGATAGATATTCTTCAAACCTTTCAAAGACCTACAGAATACATGGCATTTAAATGGTTTAGGGTTTTTCATGGCAGTGAGACACAATTGCTCCTGGCCCACGAATTACATCCGAGAGGAAGAAAGGCATTGAAGAAACTCAATATGGAGTTTGCCTTCAACATGGCAAGATTAGACATTTGGGCAAGAAACTGCTCTTGCCTGGACTGTTTGATAAACATGGGTAGATACTTAGGAAGAAAAGGTAGCTATAACCATCAAACAAAAGAAATGTGCCATATGGTAAACTTTACAGCTGTCTCTCAGAGAATTATTTCTCTTTATTTCCTAGTCCCTATTCAATTAAACCAATGCTGGATTTAGAGGTGGATTTGGCTTTCCTCCTCTAAAATCCAAGCACGTTATTTAACTAAACTTTAGTGTTTCTGTGTTGTATCAAGAAGCCAATTGATGTAATACAGAATAAAAGAAGAATTTAGGGACTGTCTTTGTCTTTTCTTGGATCTTTCTCTCAAGGTGCACACCCTTTCATAATTTTTGTGTCTGATGGTTACATTCCCCAGCATGTGTACATACACAAGCAAACATTTCTCTGCTAACTGTTTATGTTTGAGTCC